TTTGCTTTTGTTTACCAGTAGAGGTTTAACCGCAGTGCAAAGAATTGGAGATCACGGGATGCTATCTCAGTTTAGAAAATTACAACATCCAACGTTTTCTTTCATGACCTGCAAACCGTAAGCCAATCTTCATAGCTAGCAGTAAGCCAGTTAGTTGACAAAAAGATGCATGAGAGATTCTGGCTACTGTTGTACAATTTTATTCTTTCTTTTCTTACATTGATAGAGGTTCTGCGTGCGTTAAAAAAAGGAGCATCAACAAAAGCACATTACTTCATCCGATTCATATTAATTGAGGCACCCTTAGTACAAAGGTTGTACTAAGGGTTCCAATTAATATGGATTGGAGGGAAATTTGTTCTTTAATTACTAGAATTTCCTGGTACTGAAAGTTGATTCGTTTTAAATGTAATAAGCTGATTCTTACCAACATGTCCTTTTTTTTGTGCCATTTCTCTATCAAAAAATGGCAGTGGTATGAACAAAAGTTAGAAATAAGGAAATTAGTCACCACCTTCAGCAGGCCCAACTGTAACAGAGAAAGATGTGCGGCGCGATGCATTTGGAAATCAGGAGCCTTCTCTTCTATGTGTGGCAAACAAGTTGTTCAAATGGATTTGAGCCAGCGGGTGCATGTTGACGATAGTCTTTGCCTAGCTTCTCCCAAGTGACCTCTCACTTTTTAAGGGGAGAAGTGGAAATAATTAGCATACTCCGGACGTGGTGTTTTCGTGCTCGAGCTCAAATGAGTTTAAGTGAACAGTAAAATCCAAAAGAATAAAAAGCAATTCAAAAAATTAGGAATTTTTTGGTGCAAACATTGACAAACATTTCGAGTGGTCACCAAATTTCATTGCGAACTGACATTCGTGGAAGTCGCGGAAAAAAATCAGCACTTCAAAATGTTTTTGAAACTAACACTTTTGGAGCATCAATTTTTTTTCATGACTTCTACAATTGTCATGTGATGATGAAATTTTGCAAGCACTTAAACATTTGTTGAAGTTCACCAGACAAAAAATTCAGAATTTTTTGAATTTGTTTTCTTTTCTTGCGATTTTACTGTTCATCGCAAGCTCAAATAAGCTCACGAGAGCAGAATATGACTTTTGCCACACTCCTTGCTACCTTCAGCCTGCATATGTCTTGACCAATTTTCAAGAAGGATTATTTTCCATCTGAGGATTTCCTCCACCACCGTCGACGGAGATACCCCTAGAGTTTCATCACCAGCGCTCATCGATAGCAAGTCCATCTTTTTTGAAACCGGGCTTTAACCCTTGTCCATTAAATACAATGTCCATCCAAAAGATGTTCAGGAGACAGGAAAGGAAAAAGGGAGTTCACTTAAAGCTCAGGCAGGAGCAAATAGTTCAGATCTCATGCGGAAGCAGGCAAAAATAAGTATTGATAACCAAAAAGAGGGCTCGAGGAGTAAGCATGTGTAGTTCCCTTGGTTTTTGACACTATCATAGTATCAAAAAACGTCGTACATTTTGGGACGGAGGAAGTAGATGTCTCCAGTTTTCTTTTACTTTTTTTCTTGCCTCTCATTTTTTTAAATGTTTGGAAATTTCAAAATCCATTCAGATTTTTAAAAAATGTTCACGTTTTCAAAAAAATATTTTCATTTTTACAAAATGTTCATGCTTTTAAATAATGCTTGCGTTTACAAAAAAGTATTTAAAATTTAAAAAAAATCGTGTTTACAAAAATTGTTCAGAAACTTTTTGATGAATCACTATAGTACCGGTCGAGTCGGTAATGGGCTGGCCCAGTCAGGATGCTGTGTGCGATACATTGACTATTTGACGCAGAGTGTGTCTAATAGGAGCTCCCACAAAAACCTGACATTCAGACCTGACTCAGGCTCAGCTTTTCCACCCAAAGCCTAGCCCAACTAAAAACGAGTATCTTTACAGTTTCTAAGCTCCCAAGAAATGGAGCTCCCTGAGTGAATTGGGGATGTGGGACCATCATGTCATTCACTGAAAGGGATGTATTTACCGCCTCAAGCCCAAACTTTGTTTACACATGTCATGTTCTCCCGCTCGGGGCTCAGGCAGGCACATGCACATGCACCCCGTTGGTCAGCAGTAGGAGGTCATAGCATAGGATTGCAGCGGTCAAACTCTGGACGGGATAAATACTAAGCCAACCGGCTAGAGACGTGACACTTTATATTATGCATGCATCTGTTTTATCTTTCCTGGGAAGTTGAACGATAGATCCCTGTATCTACCTCATACCTTTCTTCGTATACCAAATCACTTCTTTTTTTCTTTTTTTTTGCGGGAATATACCAAATCACTTCTAAAATAACACCGACACGACGCGTCTTGTCAAATGTTTCTATTTGTCTGCACTTCTAAAATCCACCAACATTTTCTAATTCTTGAATATTTCTAAAGTTCATGAACATGTTTTTTTTCTAACTTGCATTTTTTTCAAATTCATGAACATAGTTTAAAATTAATGACTATTTCTAATATTTATGTTTTTTCTGGAAAAATTATGGTTTTTAATGCGCAATATTTTCTAAAATACATTTAAAAATTGTAAAAAAAAATTATTTAACAAAAAAAATCATGATAGCTGGTTTTGTCTAAGCTAGCAGTGCAGCGAGCGGGAAAAAAAAAGCTAAGCGAGCAGAGCAGGAGCCGAATTGAGTGAGCGAGAGTTTCATTGGCCGGCCCATATGAGTGTTATAGTACTCCCTCCTTCCATCTATATAGGGCCTAATGTGTTTTTCGAGGTTAACTTTGACCAAATATTAGAGCAATAATATATGACATGCAACTTACACAAAGCACATCATCAAATTCGTATGTGAAAGGAGCTTTCAATGATATAATTTTTACATTATGCATGTCATGTAGTATTAATTTTATCAATAGTCAAAGGCGGTCTTGAAAAACGCATTAGGCCCTATATAGATGGAAGGAGGGAGTAGCAAATTCCATGTTCCCCATGTGGAATAAGAGCTCTCAGGAGATCACACAAGCACAACCAACTAACACTGACGATAAAACGTGAAGACCACCACAACCACGCCTCAATCAACTCCACTCTCCTCTCAGGACGAATACAATTTTAAACAATAGCCGAACACGATATACGAATGAAAAGAATGTATCGCCGGAACATAATTAAAATCCAAGCCAACATAGATATAATCAAGATGACAAAATCAACTGCAATGGCATGCTAAGGAAAAAAGAGGATTAATGCCATGAGTGAAGAACGGCGCGGCGACCTCTAGTACGAATGGTGTGTGACCAATCCTACCCAGCACAGAGAGCGAGAGAGGGCTACTCGAAGTTATTGGTTTGCTTACAGACTATGACACGTGGGGACCCATTCGCCGCAGCGCAGCCCAAAAACCCTCGCCCAAAGCAGCAGCGCCGGCGGCAAGCCGCGGAGGTCCGCGTCCGCCATCTTCGCCGACACGGCGAGCGGGCACCACCTCCTCACAATCCACGGCTACTCCCGCACCAAGGGCGTTCCCACCGGGGAGCGCGTCAAGTCGCGCCCCTTCGACATCGGCGGCCACCGCTGGCGGATCGACTACTACCCCAACGGCGTGCGCGCGGAGGTCGCCGACTACGTGTCCCTCTCCCTGATGCTCGACGAGGACGAGGACGAGGGCGTCGCGGCGGCGCCGGCGGTGAAGGCCCAGTACGACATCCGCCTCGCCGGCGAGGCGGAGGACGAGGATGAGGGGACGGCGCCGCTGTCGTCGGCGTCGGTGGACGACTTCACCCCCGGGAGGGGCTGGGTGTACACCACGTTCGTTTCCAGGGAGGAGCTGGAGGGCTCCGAGCATCTCAGGAACGACTCCTTCACCGTCCGGTGCGACATCATAGTCGTCCGCGATTACCGCGCCGAGGACGCGGCGGTAGGCTTCGTGTCCGTGCCCGCGTGCGACCTGCGCCGGGACCTCGCCGGCCTCCTCGAGACCGGGAAGGGCGCCGACGTGGTGTTCGAGGTCGGCGGCGAGACCGTCGCCGCGCACCGGTGCGTGCTCGCGGCCCGCTCCTCGGTCTTCGCCGCCGAGCCTTCGGGCCGATGAAGGAAGGCAACGCCGACGCCGGCGTCGTCGTGCGCGTGGAGGACATGAAGCCGGAGGTGTTCAAGGCTCTGCTCCGCTTCGCATACTCCCCTTTGCCTTCTCCTTGTGTGTGGAATCTCAGGGTTTACACTAGTTGGAAATTAAGAGAAATAAGAGATCTTGAAACCAATGAATACCGTGGGATATGTTATAACTTATGACAATCAGTACCCATACCTTTGAGGATGTGGTGATTTGGAACAGGGGAATCTTGAAAAATCAGTTTGCTTCTAGGACTGTGAACTGTGAAGTACCTGCTAGAAACAACATTTTTCTTCTGTTTGGAAGTAGATGTTCTATGTTGGTAAAGGCGACTGTAATAAAAGGAATTTATATCTGGACCATGGGATGCTGTCTCAGTTTAGAAAATTAAAACATTCAACATTTGCTTTTCATGTTCTGCACGTGCTCCAGGGCTGCCTGTGAAACTGCAGGTCGATCTTCAGGGAGCAGCGAAGCCGGTTAATTTTTGTCAATAGCCATGGTTTTACCTGATTTGCACTCAGTTTTATATGACAGAAAATGCACGGGAGAATCGGGCTACTACTATATAGTTTTAATTTTTTTTCCTATCATATACTGAAAGCAGCTTAAATGTTGCATTAGTAACAAAAAGGAGCTATGTGTTCGGTATTTATAAAAGTGTCAATAAAAACAGAATGACAGAGGTATGAAAAGAAAAAATAGAAATCATTTACCCCTTTCATTTCTTTCATGTGCACACACAAACTTTCTTAACATTTCGTTTCATGAAAACAATGATGAACCACAAACATTGCAGCCTTACAGCTTACTTCATTTGCAGGTGAGCATGCTTTGCTTCTCACCGACCGGCACTTCCTCTAACCTACGATAACGGAATAATTTCCCACAAAAACCAATCAACAATCTACCTACATGCAGGAGCATAAAAGCCTGGAATATGAGCAAACACAATGGAGTAAGGGCCCACGGTTATGGGCTGTGTTCCCTCAACCTGCACAGGCTCCAGCTTGGGGATGGCTCCATTGGCACCGGTGGCCAGCACATTGTCATTGAGCAGCATGTGTTGGCTCTGCAGGTTCCCATCTTTGGCTGTGAGGTGGTATTCCTGCCTTGTGAGCCCAGGTGTTTCCCCGAGCTTCGGAATGGACCTTCTGTGCTCCTTTGCACCGTCGGGATGCGCGACCTCTTGGGCGCCCTCGCTGGACACATAGATATGGTTTGTGTTGTTGCCACTGAGGTTGATCAGGAGTAGGGTGATCCCTTCCTGGAAAATTCAGAGAGGGGTAAAATTTAGTACAGGTCAGTTGGTTAATACAGTGCCGGTTGCCAAAATGGAAGGGGGCGTGGATCGCCTGTGCTCGTTACCGAATCTTTTGCGCAATGCGTATAAGCACGGATCTTGTTTGTGCCGTTGAATGTCGTGGAGAGAACCTTGGTTCCCATGAGGCGATGCCATAGCAGAGCACTGCAGAAGAAGGCAGGAATAAGTTGCATGAAGATGACAAGTTTGGCATCATGTTTCAGTGCACAGGATGTATGGAACCAATACTTAGCTTGGAAACTAAGTATGTGGTGCCATATTCTAATAAGTGTGATGATTTTAGACATGCGCCGACTGGTATGTAATCATGATTTATGGTGTTCAAGGCCTTGGAATAAAAACATTATAGTTTCTCCTGTGGCGGAACTTTTCAAGAAATTCAGGCATGCCAGCTTACCTGTAGTAATCAGGATTTGGTTCAAATGTTGTTGTGTTGAGGAGGCCATAGTTCCCTCCAACCAAGGTTTGCCTGCAGTAACTCTTTGTGTCGTACTTTGCGGACATCCCGAGTTGATCCAGGAACCTGAAACATCAACATGTCATAAATACTATACTTCAGAATTCAGATGTTAACTTCAACTGCTGATCATTTTCTTTTCTTACCAGAAGCTGAACACAAATGCATCAGTTACAAGGTGGTGGCCACTGTTGTAAGCGCCTCCAGCTTCGCCGACCCACGCGGTGGTGGATGTCCCAGCGGACTTCAGAATCCCCTGAAGATTGCTGAACGTGCTTACCATATTATCAAGGTAAGAGGGGTTGAGAATTTTCTCAACCAGATGCGTGTCAACACCTGATACACCCAAAAAATTATATCGATTTATGCAGATTCTATTTTTTCCAGTTCATGTGTCGAATCGACGGTGCGACATGGCAAGCATACCGGGGCCTAAATTGTAGATATGGTGAGTGATCACATCCATCTGGTTCGGCTTTGTTTTGGCTACGAGCTCGGTGAACCAACCCGCGTCGAAGAAGCCTCCCGGCGCGATCACCAGCGGTTTCGATCCTTGGTAGGCTTTGTCAACGATTTGGTTCAGGTTGATCACATCCGCGGCATACTGATCTGCACCGACCCGAGTCCCAACTCCACTGCCGCTGAGTTCGTTTCCTGCAATGAAACCACGGTAAATTCCCAAAACACCTGTACAAAAGGTACTGCATAGAAAGTTTGTATTTTAAGCAACATTTTGGAAAGACAAGTTCAGGGTATTTCCTAAAAGTGTTCCTTTTTGCACATTGAGTAACGCGTGAAAAAGCAAAGGAGAGCATCATTAATTGATATTTCCCCTTGCTCTTTACAAGTGATGATAGCTCAGCATCACCTAATCGACGCCGACATACTTGTCTGGGATTTCTTTTGTTCAAACGTATCAGGATCTCTCTTGATCATACTTATCAGGATTTCTTTCGTATCGTAAAGTACCTTCAGAACAATATTATAGCAAAATAAAAATAAGTTTTTTTGTGGGATTATATTTGTATAAAGATCACGTTGATCAACACACATACCAAGCTCCCAGCCATAGATATCATATCCCTTGCTGACGGTGTAGTGGATGAAAGAGGCAGCATTTGTGTAATCCCATGGCCCTCCCATGGAGCCATCAGGCATTGGGACCCGGCCATTCAGCGCATTCAGCCCAAAGACAATCTGTGCACTGCAATCATCACCAAAAGGAAAATAAGCCAATAAGGTCACATTATCATTTTCATTTTTGATTTACTTATATGTGTTTTTTTTACAGCTATAGAGTTGGGGTTACCGATTACGGTGAAAAATTACCCTGATTTCTGGAAGAAGGCGTTGAGCGCGTCCCACCGGTGCATGGGCAGGCAGCCCTGCGTGAACCCGAACATGGCCGACGTGTTCTTGGTGAAGGGGGAGCAGGGCGCACCGGTGTCGCCGGTGCCGTAGACCACCAGGTCCTGCAGGGAGCCGCCGAGCCGGAGCCGGAGAGGGGAGAAGGCTGCAAGATGGAAAGGAACCGCCGGGGTTGGTACCGTGGAGCTCACTCAATGGAGAGATGCCATGATCGGCACCAGCATGGCAGCATTCATGAAAGCGGAAGGTGGTGAGCGTGCCTTACCTTTCACGGCGTTCTGCAGGATCTTGCTGGACAGGTCCTGCAGAGAGGGAGACAATCATGGCTGGGGTCAGATTATTTTGCCATGTCTGGGAAACCCAGGAGTTTCAGGATAAATTTGAAGGGGATTTTACACAAATTAAACTGAAAAAAACAGTTGTGCGCGCAAAAATGAAAATTAAGTTGCTACGGGTATAGATTATACTAGAATTTTAGTGTGTGTTTTTTTTTGCGAGGGACTAGAATTTTAGTTGTTGTTTCTTTTCAAATGAAAATAGAAAATTGTGGGTTGTTCTATTGATTGGAATGTAACCATTTTTTTTGTTTGAAGGGTGGCATCACAGGGTTAGTGGTAGTAGTTTAATGGTCAGTAGGCAGTAGTCTTTTGCATCAGCACATGATTGGAGGGACAAAAACGGAAATGGTCCGAGAGAATTACACTCCATGTAATCTCTTACCCATTCTCTCTCACAAAATACCCGTACCGTTGCCGACACACACGAAAAACAATCAACGAAAATACCTTAAAAAAACGTTGCCCCTGCTCTACATATATATTTCACATGTTTTTAACCATATTTGGAACGCAACAATTTCACGAAGACCTCAAGACTTTTTTTTTCTTTCCTACTAATACGGAAGGCCTCATTTCCCGCCGAAACCGGAAAAATGGCGCCGGCGCCAAAAGTGACCAAATTACTTACCTGAAATTTAATAAATTCCGTTGCCACAACCGGTATGAGTTCTGAAATTTTGTCATTCTTCTGATGGAAATCTAATCTGTTTGGACTTCGGAGTGCCGCTTCTCTTAATTATTATTTTTTTTGAATGTTGGCAGGAGGACTCTTAATTATAGGTTGGTGGGCAGTGGCTTTTGCATCTGCACATGATTGGCAGGGACGGAATTGGAAATGGTCCGACAGAATTAGTTATGGGTCCGTGTAATCTCCTCCCTAGCTAGGCTGTCAAAATTCCTATCCATCCCAAAAGATCCATGGCGCTGCCGACACCCGAAAAACAACCAAACAGAGACATATATCCTCGGAAACGATGCCCGCGTTCTAAACAATTCATATGCTATGCAGAGCTCAAACAACAGGATTTTGAAATTTGGCAGAGATTTCAAGCGTCTCGATAAACAAATTTGAGAGTGAGATGACAGAGGACGGAAACAGAGGGTGTGTGAGTGAGGTTATTACCAGGTTGAGGAGGCCGGCGCGGCCCCAGGCGCAGGTGCCGTAGTCGCACTTCTCCGGCGGCCACCAGTCCAATGTCGCGCACACGAACGCCGAGTCCGTCTCCGCCACGGCGGCCCGCGCGTCCACCACCACCGCCTCGCCGGCCGCGCCTGCTGCACCGGCGCTCGTGCCGTTCGCGGCGGCCGAGGAGCCGGCGAGCGAGAGGGCGGCGACGGCCCAGACGCAGAAGCAGAAGCAGAGCCTCGCCGCCTGCGGCAGCAGCAATCCAGCCGCCATTCCGGCCAAGCCAAGAACCAAGAACTACACCGGCTGGCCGGAGGAAAGGGCGGGCAGCAATGCCGCTCTCACAGGTGAGGGAAGCTACAAGCTAGCTTCTTCTTGCCATGGAGAGAGGGAGGGGGAGGAAGAGCGGCGGGATGTGGTGGTTTTCCGGTGGGGAGATGGGAAGGCCGGCCGCCTTTAATGGCTTTGTGTGTTTGGTGGGAGAAGCTTGGAATCTTTATATGGGGAAGGAGGGAGGTCAGGGAGGGAGGCAGAGCAAGTTGGCAGAAGAGAGAAAGCGTATCATGTCATTGGGGATTTAGGGGAGCAACAGTATATTAATTATTTTGGCCAATGGAAAATAGATGCCCTTTGTGCTTTTACATTTTGTTTCTTTGGAAAATGCTCGTCTCCCTCTCTGAATTTCGTCCTGCTTTATAAATAAAACAACAACCGAACAAAAGTATCCGGCCGAACGATACAAGGTGATGAGGTAGCTCTCATACAACGTTGATCCCATGATAACCGGAACACATAGGATGAACGCCGATCTTTGGAAAATGCTCAGGATTTACCCCCAAAACACACTTTTGTAAATTTCAATAATGGATATATGTATGTATGCGCAAATTTTGAAACCAGAACATGGACACATGCGACCTGTTACAAATTTCAATAGTGGAAGATTTATTTTTGTTTGACTTTGGCAACCTGTTGTTGGTGCCTCTGGTGGGTTGCTTATGGGGTAATGGAGGATTTATTTTTTTTAAGCTGACTCCTGCATAGCTAGTAGGTTTATGATAAGAATGGTTCTTATGGACAAAAGGACTGGGTTCAAGTGGAAGTGTGGAACCCGTTCAATGTTTATGGGGCTGCTCATTCATTGGATAAGGACGTGTACATTTTGATTTGGTTTAGATGCTAGGTTTTAATAACTTTCCCTGTGCAATTGGTGCTGGCCTTAATATTATTAGAAGAGGTAAAGAGAAAAGTAAATGCAAGAAGCTCTCAAAGTGGTCCTTTTTCTTTAGGTCTATTATTGGACATTGGGGTCTAAAAGAGCTTGAACTCTATGGTAGAAACTTTACATGGTATAGTAATCAAGTTGATCCACTTTATGTTAAAACTTGATAGAATTTTGGTTAGCCCTCCTTGGGATCAACATTTTTCATTAGTTACTGTCTAGACACTTGTAAGCATAGTTTTAAAAATGGGACCAGTGATTGAACCGCTCTGGCACTTGGTTTAGGTGTTTACTGATCGGATTGTCGGTTCACCGGTTCGATGCCCTGGTCTTAAAGACAAAAATATATTTATAATTAGCGATAAATACACCAATCAATAATTAAAAATATGTGCAACATAATGCCAGAGTAAATATCTTTAGCATCTCAATGAATAATATGGTATTATGGCATACAATACAAAGTAATACAAGTATATAACTGGATACAAGTCCACAACCAACATGACCAACACAAAAGTATATAGTACCGTATGTTTTGACAACTAATATGCCAATCAAAATAGCAACTAGCAATCAACACAGTGAACAGAAGAACATATGCAAAAATCTTTAATTCTCTTCTGTAATCTCTATTTTCTACAGATACAGACTTTAGGTTTATTAAGTATACAATATATAAGGACGAGTTTCTTATTGGTTTGGTTTAGATGCTAGGTATTATAAACTTCCAGTATGTAATTTGTGGTGACCTTAATATGTTATTAGAAGAAGTAAAGAGGGAAACAAATGTAGGAACTTCTCAAGGTGGTCATTTTTCATTAATTCTGTTCCTAAACATAGGGGTCTGAAAGCGCTTGAACTCTCTCATAGAAACTTTACATTGTCTAATAATCAAAGTGATACACTTTATGTTAAACTAGATAGAATTTTTGTCATCCCTTCTTGAGAGCATGAATTTCGATTAGTTACTGTGAGAAGACTTTTAATTTGCATAAGGGCATCTCCAACGTTGATCCTTAAACCGCCCACATCCGTCCAGATTGGGTTGTTCGGGCGTGTTTTGCCATCCAATGTGGTGCCCCATCCAGTTGTCCGTTTTACTGCAAACCGGGGGAGGCTATGCGTGCGTCCGGGACGGCACGCGTCCAACAACCCGGTCCCACCCGAAAACCCTCCGGCTCGAAAAACCCTCCCACGCGAAACGGTTGCCGCGCATTTATGCCGGTCAGTGCTGCTTCAGAGAGGACTTGACAAGGCGGTATTGATGCTTGTCAGAGAAACATGGCCGGGCGGCGCCCCTTCAATACATGCGCAACAACCGAGAAACATACTCCGTCCGTTGCGCCGCATTGAAGTCGGCTTCCAATCCCTTCGCATGTCCATCACGCCTATTTAAGCACCCCTCTGGCATTGTCCACACAGCACCACTTTCCGACCCTCTCCACGCCCACCCTTTCCGATCCTCAATGCTCCGACGATAAAACTGCCTTCAGACCATGCCGAAGCCGTGTTCTCCACGCACAGGCGGTGACGGTTCCGGATCAACCACCGGATCATGGCACCACCGTCCTCGCTCTCAAGGACCCTTCGGCTCCACGTCCGCCGGCTCCTTTGACAAAGAGCAGATTATCCTCTCCTCCGGCGATGAGGAGGACTAGGCACCGCCGCAGTAGCCGCACCTTCTCTCGGAGGCCACGGCCACTGACAACGAGTTCCTCTGCAGATCGAGCTATTGACGGAGTGGTCGCTCCAGAATGTGGTCCGGCACCACCCTTGCCACTATGGGACATCGTGAAGAAGGAGCCACACTACCCGCCACGCTACCATGTCAAGCAGGAGGTGGCGTCTCCTCTCCACTGTGTTAAGATGGAGCCGGATCCCTCCCTCCCACACACACACACACACACACACACACACACAACCGCGGTGTCCAAATCGGGCGTGGCGCAAAGGAGGAGCCAGCTTCGCGGCCGTGCAGCCCGCTACTCCCAGACAGACGGACCTGGGTCACCAAAATGGGGAGCTCGCCAAGATTGGCGAGGAAATGGTCGCTAATCGACACCTCCGGCGGGGCAAGACTGCTGCCAGGGCTCCGTGATTGGGGTGGGCATTGGTCGCGGCGGCCCTTCGCATGGCCTAGGAGGAAGTGGAGTGACTCCTCCGCGAGTGCCAGGCGGCTGCCAAGTAAGGATGTCGTGGCCCCATGCCCTTCCACCGCTGGAAGGACTACCACCACCACGACGATGACACGGACGGCGAAGGCGGTGCAGCCGGCCAGGGCGGCTATGCGTACAAGGTCAAAGTCCGCTAAAAGTTAGCCTCCTAGTTTATTTTTAGTTTTTAGTAAAACGGATGAAATGCCATATGTTTTATGTAAATTATGTCCAAACTATGCTTAATTCCGTGGTGTGTGATTAATTTTTTCCAGTTTGTTAAAATTTGCTGTCAGATGTACCCGGGTACGGCTTTGGATGGTCAGCTCCCGCATCATTATCCGCGGATTAATCCTAACCGGTTTGCTGATGGATACCGTGTCCGATTTGGAGGTCGGCGTTGGAGATGCCTTAAGGGGTGTCTGTGATCGTGCGGCATTACTTATGCACACTAGAGTTTAGGAAGTAGTGAGAGAGGACCTCCCGTCCTCCCCTTTATAGTTTCTAATGCTTGGCACACTACTTTGCGGGGTAAAAATAGCATCGACATGTGGATGCAAAAGAACGGGCTTTGCACCATTAAGGTGTAGTATATGCAACAACTAATAGGCTTTGGTGCTTTCTACCCACAAAAGAGCAAAGCTTTGGTGATTGATCGTACCAGTAGTTAAATGACACCGTAGAAAAACAACATATAATCCAGGAAGTTTCCTTTTTTTAGTGTGTACATGCAAGTGGTGTGGTAGTATCTTGGGGTCTTTTGGTTTGATCGAAGCTGGCTTTGCCGACCGCAGAGCTGGAAAGCTCGTCGCTGGGCTCCCTGGCGGCCGTGAGTATGGACACTGGACAGGACAAAGCTAGCAGCAGAGCAGAGAGGTTCCAGGCGGCACGCCATGATCGTCGTGATCGTCCGGGAAAAGACACTGCCATGATCGTCGGCACGCCGTCCAGGAACGAATCGGGTTCCGGTCATGGTCAGCAAGAGCAAAAATGCACCGACCCATCCACCAACCAAAACACTGAGGCGAACCGGGCCGGTGTCATTTTCTTCTGTTTCACGGACTGTGTCGCATTGGTGCGCATACCAGCGTCGTTTTCTTCTGTTCCAGAACGTGCGTTACATTGGTCAGTGACCAGGGTCCTGCCTCGCTGTATACAGTACAGGCATGAGGCATACATACACATCGGCGTGTTTGGTTCCCGCCCAGATCCGCGTCGAAAGAAAATAGGCTGTTTGGTTGCCTGTGTTCATTGTTTAGCCTGCATGGCATGATGATTAAAGCACCTTTCAGTCAGGCCCGCTAGGAACCCATGAATCGGCAATTTTTTCATAGCTAGGCCTGCGGGATGCACGTGGGTGGGGTGGGGGCCACTGCACGCGAGGAGCCACGCTCGAGACGCCGCGTTGTTTCCCGAAGCGTCGGCAATAATTACCCTCACCGCCTCTCCCATCTCTCCACTCTCCAACTCTCACACTGCCGGTGCGACCAACGGATCGAAGAACAGCAAGGCGACCACCAGCCTCCATCACTAGCATAAGCAACATCACCCGCATCACTTCGGCGGTGGTAAGCCCTATTTCCACCTCCTCCCTTACTAGTTCGTATTCGATTCGGTCTGCGTAATTCATTCGCGTTCTAGGAGAATAGGGAATCGGGGTAAATAGCCATAGGGTTGACCAGAACTTCTTCATGACTCCTAACCGCGGTCCAAAGCCTTGTCGTCCGGTCAGAATTGAGTATAAGGGAAATGGGGATTCGTGGTTAATCTTACACAGTAGCTTTAAATCCTAGCCGCGGCGACCCTGGAGGCGCTTGGAGCGGCGGGGCCCTTGGCCTTGTTGTTGTCCTCCGGCTGAACCATATCATGCACCATCTCGTCAGCCTTGTCGTCGT